ACCATCCGACATATCCGTCTGGATGTCGCAACACTTCTTAAAACTCAATCTTTCAAAAACTGAGCTCCTGATATTTCCTCCTGCCCGTGCACCTTCCCCCAACTTTTCCCTTGAGATGGGTGGTACTCCTCCCATGCTTGCCTCCAGGACTTCTCTAGAGCCTCTCCCATCCTCTGGAATTCTTTACCCCAACTTGTCCGTTTGTCGCCCACCTTGTCTGCCTTTAGGCATTCCCTAAAGACTCATGTCTTCAGGGAAGCCACACTTTGCTGGTGTTTGACCAACTCTGGCCCAGCAATAGGTCCTGTACAATTCTTTCTTTATTTTTGTTTTATGTTGAGTAATACCTTTTATTAAATCACACAATGTTCTTGCAACCTGCACCCAGCACTCTGACTTCCTCAGGACCAGGACTAGGACCATCATCAGGACTATAATGGCTTAAGATTGGATACCATTTTTTCTAGTGTGTGAGAATGCATAATGCTCTTCAGTAGCTGATTTGGCAGCCAGTTACACAGGACCACCAACCCACAGTGCATTCACCTATAGGAAAGATGCAACAATCAACCACACAGGTTACCCTTGTGCATTGGACACTTCTCTGCATCCCAAGTTACTAACATTCTATGCAGTTATTTATGTGCCATCACAGACCGTACTGAGCCCAATTTACCAAATTATCTTAAAACCTTCCGGGACCACTCACATGGTTCTCAAAATCCACACATCAAGACTACCAGATGTCAAGCCTTCACCTGGACTGAACCCATCTGCTATTCCATTCTTCCCTTCAACACCTAAACATCAGCTATAAGGTACCACCAGCTTCAGCAATGGTAAACAAGCACCTGCCACAACAAAGCCTAAATGAACTGATTCGTCAGCTCTTGTTAGGTACATGACCCGCAGAAAATGTATTCATATGCACCCTATAAAGTTTGACAATCACCCAGGGGACTAAAGTCTAGGGGTTTGATTTACTAACCTTATAAACACACCACGAACGTGTATACACCTCTGCAGTGTGTTCCCTCCCAGCATGATCTATGGGTGGAATCTAAACACCTTTGTAATGTGTACACACCCAGCAGGTGTGTTGTGCAAAGCCCTGAAGGAATTCCAAGGTGATGTTGTATAAATTAGCTCTATGTTGTGTTGCTTGCGTTGATGAATGCAAGGAATGTAAATGCATGAGCTAACCATTTTTGTCTAAACTGTGAAGCAGCATTATATATGCATCATGTGCATGATTTTTCCATATATGGCATTAGTGGAAATATGCTTTTAGAGACTTTTTGGTTGATAAATACGTTTTGCTGTGTGAAAATCACACACACCTGGTGTGTGTGTGTGTTTAGGTTAGTAAATCACCCCCTAGAAGTCAATATTCAAGTGAGTAATTGAAAACCTCAATTTCCTACCTATGCAAGAACTTGATCAGTTGGTTAGGCCCTAAGTCCTGAAACTGTGTTAAGAGGCTTAAAACTGTTCACATCCAGGAACAAGTCTCAAGAACCTTAGCCTTGCATGTGAGAGACTACAGCAGGCAATCTCGGCACTTCAGCTGTGGTGAAGATGCAAACCATTAATCATGCATTTTGCTCTGGGAGTCATCCTTGTGGCTGTCAGAGTCTTTAAATTACTTTTGCTATTTGTAGTTCCACAGCAGCTGGAGTGCCAAAGTGCCTACACCTAGACTACAGGAAACATATGACAGCCCTAAACTAATAGAACTTGCTTTTTTCAAAAGATTAGAGGACTTTCCTAGATTGTCCAACAGAGACAAGAAGAAGTTCCAGCAACTGGGTGATCTTCTTGAGCTTGAAATAAAAAAAGGAAGACCCAGATCTACCAGGTCCTACCTGCCTAGACACTGCACAAGATGTGAACCCAGTTGTTGTAAAATTGCCTTACAATATCCAGGAAGAATGGGCAAAAGTGTGTACAAAGTATATGGAGGAACATCAAGTCCATCTTTAAAGAAGGTCTAGTGTGTTCCAGTGTGAGAAGATCAAATCAGACATTTGTGTGTGTGCATACTATGGTGCATGTCCCTTGGCCACTCCCAAGCATGCATATCTGACAGCCTGCAACATCGGTCATCATGCTATTCTGCATCCTCGTTTACTGTTACCACTTCCAGGGGTGCTGTACGAGAAGTGCAAGAGAAGCCCCCTCTTCAACTTGATCTGCTCCAGGTACATGACACCATCCTTCTCTTTCTTTTATCATGCTTCTGAATGGAAGAGACATTTGAAGAGTGCTCAAAATACAGTTTGAGGGTTGTAACAACAATGCCTATGCCCAAAGGACCGAGCTAGCTTGGATTGTTATCAGTGCTACTCGCTGCAATGAGAAGCAGAGTTTAAACGGCAGGTGCAAAAATTCAAGGCACCCCTTTCTTCTTTCAAAACTCATGCTAAGGACACAGGAGACACCAACTCTAAATACAAGACTTGTGAGTGATTAAGCATACATCAGATAGACATCAGAATCATCTTACAGCAATGACAGTAAAATGACTAGAAAAGCATCCTTTGTATTCCAGTTATTAGAAGTAAAACTACATTGGATTCAACATCTGTGTCTTATTGAAGAGTTAAGCTGCCTGTGGATTCTGCAAAGTAAGCAAGTGGAGATACTGTTCACACAAAGTGGATCTAAGGAGGTATGTTATTACCTATATAAATATTTTTGAAACATAACGACTGAAGCCAAGTATGCAAATGCACATATTTCAGTAGTGTAAAAAACTCCAATCCATTTTATAATAAAGTACTGCAATTAATTTGGACCAGCAGAGTATATCCACAGACACATCATAAACAAATAAAAGAAACAACTCATGAACAGTGGAACATAGGTATAATCTAATCATAGGATATATCCACAAGCATATACTATGCTAGGGTGACTCTGGATACTCAGGTATACTCATCTGCAGTGTTGTCACCCATTCCCGCACCCTCTGTAATTGAACCACGGGCAGTCATGCCAATACACTGTGCTCTGGCTCATTCTGCTGCAACCACCACAGTAAAATGGTGGATATTTAAGTAGACTGAGAACTGCTGAAAAAACACTGTGAAATGATGCCCATATACTGTATTTGTATCCTAAGGGACAATTTTCAAGTCTTACATGGCCAGTAAAGAGCGATGGCCTGCAAGTGCTAAAAACAAACCTATGCTAGAATCTTGCATTATGCTGCCATTTTAGGTCTAAAAAGCTCTTAGCTTAGTTCTTCTTTGAGCGAAACAGTAAGTTTTCAAATATGAAAGCTATAAGACACTTTATATTATGTTTGTAAACAGAAGAGTAATTCATAATTCATGACCGTGCACCACTGAAAATAGGGCTTGGGTAGCTCGAGGAGCCGTTTGCAAAGCTCTCTCTGGTGGCTAAGTGTCCTGTATCTTTATATCATGCCAGTGTGGGGGGCCATTGCCCTTTCTGATATCCACGCCAGGCCGTCATTGATGGCACAGTAGAAGTTAATGTCCTAAACATTTCAGCTTCTGAAACCATTACTTTTTAGTGGACCACAGGGAACATAAAATCAGCCTTGCATGATTAACACATGAGAGACACTTTGGTTAGATGATTGAACCATGATCCATGAACTGCGATTGCTAAACTGTGCATCTGTGACTAGGTTTTGGAAATGTAAAAACACGACAATCCTCTAAAGAGACCTTTTTACTTATTACTCTAGGTGCTGGTTAGACAAACTCATTCTTGAAACTAATATGAATATTTGACATAGTAGATTATGCTGTGTCAGATGCTGGTGAAAGATATTTTTTTCATTGGGTTTACAGGATCACTTTATTAACATGGTAAGATTTTCTCCCAGAGTCCCTTGGGACTGCTTATGCCAGGGTATCCTGTTGTGCTGCCTGCCCCACAAAGCTATTTTCGAAACCAGAAGTGACATTTTCCATTCAGCAGCCCTCAGCAATATGTAGACAGTGCTCACTATGACTGGAGAGGTGCCCCTCTAAACAGCTTTGATGGGAATCTAAAGATTTTTTTTTTTAATATATTTTCTTCATGTATTATGCATAGAACTAAAAAAAAAATGTATTTCATTTTACTATGGCAAGTATGAAATACTACACATGAATGTTCCACATTTACCACTTGTTGCCAGCAAGTGATGACGCCCTAACAGATATAGTGCTAAGGCTCAAAGCAATGGCTCTTCCCCTCTTATAGCACACATGGCAACATCTTAAAGTGTAGGTCAGGACAAAATAAAGAAAAAAACAAATGTACTATGTCTCCACAATACATGCACATTAACTAGGTTTTAATACTTTAAAGACCCTGCAAGTACATATAGATACCTGTTGATCTGCCATAAATACACTCAGCTTCTAATTTTTTAATAAACCAAAAGGTAGCAAATAAGTTAATTGCTAAGCTTCACATACCATTCAACTAGTAAATTAGGGTACAGTATATCTAAAGCCAACTTTTAAAGCTTTGGATAGAGTAGCTAAGGGTTAAAACCTCAGTCAGTTCTTGTATTATGTTTGTGTCACACTGGAAAATTTCCCTTAATTTCCTGGCCCTGAAACTCCATTGCAGGGCTGGGCTGAGGCAAAGACAGGAGAATCTTCCCCCTTGGGCCTGTGGTATAAGAAGGCACAGTTGCAGTGGGAGCCCCTCCTGCCTATGCATTGCACTTTGTCATATTTGCTTTGGGTGCCAGAGAACCTTGTGCCAGCACTGTTCTACTGGATGATTTGCCCCCCACCCCCTGTGCTGAGGACAATTATAACATTTTAGATATTCCATAATTTTCAGTGGTCACCAGGAAATTGAAAGGGTGAATCTCTCCGGTGAGGGCATGGACGGCACTAAACACCTGACAGCATTCTACACTTCTTTTCAAAACTAAGAAGTTGTTTTGGCTTTAGTCTGCTATAAAGCATAAAATCAGTGCCTTTTAAAAGTTTTTGTTGCTGGTCAGCTTCATATTAAACACTTACCTGGCTTACATCTGCTACATCTTCTGCCTTGAAAATCTGGCATGCACTGGCACTGCCCATCAATAGGGTCACAGACTGAAACCGGCAAACTTCCAAACGGGTCACAGTCACAATCCTGACAGCCCAGTAGATTCACAGCTGTTAGGTTGAAGGTATGGCTTATGCAAACACTGCAGCGTGACCCTGTTACGGAGGCCTTGCACAAACACTGTCCTGTTAACTTATCACAGGCCTGTGAGCCGTTTATGGCGCCAGATCCATCACATTGGCAGGGCAGGCAAGACATGGAGCCATTTTGTGTGGATTTGTAGTAGCCATGCAGGCATTCATTGCACTGCCTTCCTCCGGCATTGAGCTGGCAGACACATTGGCCTGTCAGAGCGTCACAAACTGTTCCAGGGATAATCCCTTCAGTGTGACACTCGCAGGGTTTACAACCACCAGCAGACAACCTATAATAGTTGTCAATACAGGTGTCACAGCGGAGTCCACTGGCATTCTCTCTGCATTTACATTGTCCGCTGGTGGGATTGCAGAACTGATTGATGGAGCCATAAGCATCGCACATGCATTGTGTACAGCTCTCTCGGCCTAATACATCTTGTTTGTAGCCCAGTTTGCAGCGATCACACAGAGGACCTGCAATGACAAAAAATATGTTTCATGTTTATTGCACTTACAGAGGAATAATACGGTTGTGTAATTAAAGGGCTGCTTCATTTTATGATTAAAGGAGAATTATAGTTTTGTAAAAAAGGGAAAATATGTAGTATTAACACAAATCACTTTGTAATGTATTGTTATTAACAAATAGGCTTACATTTTAAACTTAGAATTAATGGGTCACAACAGTTGCAACCGTTGCTGGGCTCCAATTTCATTAAGGGGCCAACCATCTCTACAGCCAGCTACTGTAATTCTTACATCAAGCAGAAGAGTGTTATTGACAGCCTCTAGATCAGGGAACTTTCCACCCTGTGGCTCCTGTGCCTAGTCATGTTATCTGATGTCGCATGACCAAGTACAAGCATTGTATAAGGGGCAGTGCTGTGCTGGTACAAATCAGCTCCCATAGCAACCAAACAACAAAATATTTGATCATTTTCTTATTCCAATATATGATAATTTTAAGGTGACCAGCAAAATTATTTTAAAGCATCCTTTTCAGTAATATGAGTTTTTGCAGACGGGTGTCTGAAAAATTATAGACATGTGCCTGCCATATATTATTGTTTCTTTCTGTCTTTGTTTAATTACCAAGAGTGTGTAAGGGATATTTATTTTCCTCATAAGTCTCTGTATTGGCATCTTTCTACCTACCTATACTTTAAAAGAAGTCAAACACTTATAGGCATTGAACAACAACATCTTTGTCACTGCTTTGTGACACAGAATATCCCATAGTATAAGTGACATTAGAGAAGGAGAAAAACATTGTTTCCCCCTCAAATGTCACTTTGCTGCAAACGAACGAACGAATGAACGAAACAAATAGGAAACGAAAACGAAACGAACGTTCGAACGAACTACCACTAACGAATTTCGTCCGAATCCGAATTGACTTTCACACCCGAATCCTGAAAAACGAAATAACACAAAATCTGAATCAGAACTAAACAAAACAATTTTTTTGGCAGTGCACATGTCTAGTATTCAGCATATGAAATGATTCTTCTATTCAAATACTTTATTGAAGTGTCATATATAAACCATAGAGAAGAAGGTCCCCTTCTCTAGGCACAGACAGTGACGCATCACCTGTACATTAAGAAAGAGACTCTTCCCTGCCAGAAGCAGAAGTTTTTATATGACACTTTAATAATGCATCTGAATAGAAGATCCCTTTTGATATACTGACAACTACTCTGGCATTCTCTGTAAAAAAAAACATTGCCATTTGTTTTTCTGCTCCGAGTCCTAAATGGTGAAACATTTGGGTTTGGTGTGCTGTGTGGACCTTGTAAGTATCTGCCTTTGGACACACCTGACAGACTTGCACCCAATTTTATCTTCTGACCCATGTGCTCCAAGATGGAGACTCTCATAGTTAAGAGTTAGGACCGCACTATCAGAGGTGCTTTGGCGCGACTGTGCGGCTTTCACATTTTCTGCAGAAGACGTGTATCCAAACCTCTGTTTTTAACCTTAGTGGTGAGACAAGTTTTTTTACATGCTAGCTTGTGAGTGTGCCAGGAAACCTTTTTACGGTTTGCCTTTGGACATAGACACAATTTGTTGTGTACCATGGTTTAGCAACATTTACCACAAGAAGAGACCAATATTCAGTGTACTCATTCATGTTCTGCTTGGAGTTGTGTTTGAAGTTGTGGGAATACAGATACTTCACAGGGAATTGTAGTGGTGTCCCCTGGTGGCAGGTTGTTAAGTCAGTTGCGGGGCCGGAGGCCCACAAAGAAAGTTTAAAAATGGTGTATCCAAGACACTAAATCCTCAGAGTTCCTGAGTTCCACGCAATCTCAGATTCCACATTTCACACTGCCATAGGTCTAGTCGGGAATCACTCATTTGCAGTTTATTTAAGAGGCCTCTCATTTATTAGTGGTAAATGTTAAGTCCATCGAGGATCCCACTCCACACTTGGGGCCCATGAATGGGGGCTAAGATGGCCAGTGTGCCACAGAAACCTTTCCGGCCACCGATACTGATGGACTCTTCTTCACAAAACCACCACTAATACCCGACCTTAACCTGACATTATATTCATACTCCCAGGTATTGACTGTGCCTATTAATCTCCAAGAGAACACAGGACCAGTCCAGCATTTATCTTAACAGAAGCATTCCCATAACACCTTTCCTTTATGCTAGGTAAAACGGGAGGTGTGTTGTGGAGCCACGGTGCATTGTGTAAGTCTCACTCCAAACTGTGGGTACCCTGCATTTCCTGTAACTACAGACCTGAGGCCTACATGTTTTCCCAAACAGGAAAGCGGTGTTCTATCTCTTATTTGTGCAGTTTCTCAATTGCTGTGATACAGAGGACATTAAAGGTGTAAACATCTTACCTTATACTGTACATAGTGTTACAAACAAGGAACTACTTCCCATCTCCTTAAGCTCCCTACTAGTGATAAGCTGAATGTACATTGGTTCGGTTTGAGTAAGGTTCAGTAAACTTTACTTAAATTTGGGTGCCAAATCTGAACCTTGATGATGTCAATAGGAATTTAATTATATAAATAATTAATGACAATTTTCTAGGGTAATATGCAGGGAATTGACAAACACAGGACATGGGAACCTGGGCAGTACCCTGGAGGACTTTTTCCAAAGCAAAAATAACTTTTTTTTTACAAATTTAATTTGGCTGGGAGAAGTGATTGTATTAATTCTTAAAGGACAATAAAAGTGTACAATTCCTTTAAATAACATTTAGCTTTGGGGATGACCTGAACCTGCACCGTGAAGTGGCACATCTGTGCAATGTATAGAACCTACTACTGCAAAACAGACATTTAAATGTCTTTAAAATTACTGCCAAATGACAGCACCTGGCTGCTTTGTTCTGTTTGTAAACAAAGTGGCTGAGGATACCCTTCATCCATACCACACCTTTAAAATTTGGAAACGGATGCAGGGTTTCCCTTATGGTGTTATAAAGAGGACCCTCCAGGTTTGGTATGGATTTTGAAAGAGAACTCCATACCCTTATCTGAGCAGCAGCCTAGCAGGCCAGAAAAGTAGGGGGGAGAGCATGTACTCCCTCAACCATACCAGGCCACATGCCTGCAACATGAAAGAAACCTTACCGGGGCAAGGACCTCTTCCCCCTGATGGTTGTGGGAGTCTGTGGGAAGAGGGGTAGTTGGAGAAAATAAGAAAAAAGGAGGGCCTTAGATGCCACAACCCCGTACATGACTGAGTAAGAGGTACACAGTATCCTTACTCACTCACAAAACCAAATTTGAAGAGTAAAAAATTCCCACAGTGCACTACCCTCATCAATCAAATGAAGTGCACTGAAAGAAAAAACCCATCAACCCACCCACAGTAATGGCTATTCCTCAAGCTGTCAACTGTGAAATATGAGAAGGAGCAGCGATTGTGGTGACATCATTGACTAAATATGGCCATGTGACCATATTTGGGCAATGATGACACCACTATACCTCAAGAAATACCGCTATTATATATGATGTTCAGCTCCTGCCCAATGTTTGGGTCAAACTTTGAGCTAATCCCTACTCCCCTCCCTCACCGCTTTAAATACAAGCCCCAACGGTAGGCAGGGAAGGCAGCCCATTCTGACAGGAAAAAGGGGCACGGAAAACCCAAGAGGACTAATACCATGCTACAGACCGTAATTATGATCTCTATCCTAGACCCTATTCTCTCTTGCAGGGGCTCATCTATGGTGACTTAAACTTGTACATGAAAATCAGAATACAGCTCAAACTTCATCTTTCATGGTGCTCCTGATTATTTTCAAGCCCAGGAGGTCCACTTCCTAGAAAAGGGGTCTAGGTACGGTTTACTTTTAAATAAGCTTGATGAGCCCTTTCCAATACATAGCACCATCTGACATAGTATTTGAGGTTGAATAAAGACACAGGTCCATCAAGTTCAACCTTTGTGTGTCTGTGTGTGTTTGTGCGTGCGTGCGTGCATATATGAGTCCCTGTGTGGTCTAGTTTTTAAGAGTACCTGTAGCCCTGTATGTTATGGTCTCTGAGGAAGGGATCTAAATAATGTTTTAATTATTAAATACTATCTGCTGATACCACTGCTTGTGGAAGAGTTTCAAAATGTAACCACTCTGACTGAAAAAAAGCCTCTATGCCCTTTGTGGTTAATCTTTTCTCCACTATTTTTAGATGGTGGCCTCTAGTCTTTTTTAGGGAGTTTACACAAAAGGTTTTTTGCTGATGTTGCCATCACCACTAAACATTTTGTACATCAAATTCATGTCCCCTCTTAATCGTCTCACTTCCAACATGAACAAGTTTAAATTTAGCAACCTTGTCTCATTTGCTTTGGTCCTCCAGCCCCTTAACTAGTTTTGTTGCCCTTCTCTGGACTTTTTCTAGCGCCGCAATGTGTCGAACCCGAGTCCCTGATAAGCAACAGACTGTTCGATGCCCACGATCCCGTTGACAGCTTACACTGTCTGTCCATCTGATAATAGAGTCCCCTACCACCAATATCTGTCTCTCCTTTTTCATCCTTCCTGCTCCCATCCTTACTGGAGCAGTCACTGCCCTTGCAGATAGGGAAAGCATCCTGCTCCAGCACTGCCACCCCTGACATCATGCAACCTGGCATATTTATTGGGGTCTATCAATTAAGGACTGGCCTCTCTTGTGCTCTTCCCTCTACTCCCCCTTCTAACAGTAACCTAGCCACCCACCTCAGGATCCTACCCCTCCATATCCCCCTCCTCCTTTATACCGCCTTCCACCAGAACCTGATGAGTCAGAAGCAAACTCTTTTCCCTGTTGTTTATGCTCTGCAGTATTGCCAGTTGATTGTTTAGATCCAGAATCTGGGCTTCCAAGCAAACAACTAGCTCACATCTAACGCAAAAGTATTCACCCTCAAACGCATGTTCAAGAAATGCATATATTAAGCAAGATGTACATGAGGTTTCATTCCCACTCATGGAAAACATATTTTTTAAA